TTTTTCACACCTCACACTGTGTTCCAGAAGAATCAGATGGCTTGAGGTTTCCCCCAAACCATTTGTTTTTTTAGTAATCCCAGTGCCTTAGTTACTTTTCTCTCATTGCTGAGAGAAAATACCCCACACCCAAAGTGAAAAGGGGAAAGGTTTATTTAGCTCGCAGTTGGGTTTTTTTGGTACTGTGGATTGAACTCAGGACCTTGCACTTGCGAGGCAGGCACTGGAACCACTGAGCTAAATCCCCAGCCCTAGCTCACAGTTTGTAGGGGTTTCAGTCCATAGATGATGGCTGGCTCTAGGGCAGAGTGGCACATGGCAGAGAGGCATTGCAAAGGAGAAACAGTTCCTTGTATGCAGAAGACAGCAAATACAAGGGACTTTAACAGTGTCTTTCTGTCCTTTTATCTTATCCAGGCTACTTAGGGTGGGTAACACTCACACCCTTAATCCTAGTGCCCTTGAGCCTAGCTTTGCTCAGTGAATCAATCCCAGCAGCGCACACTCTGGATCCAGGCACCTCTGAAAGAGCCCCACTTATGACCGTATGAGGCTTTGGGGGGACATCTAGACACAAGTCATAAAACCTAGGAAACAAAGTTCCTTTTCCTTCCTCCCAGTTTCAACCCTCAACCCAGCATCCCTGGTCAAACCTCTCTCCTTTCCAAAGAGGGATTGAAGTTTAATGATCTTAGGTTACACACAGCTTCTAGTAGTCAATAAGAGCAGAATTCAATTGAATTTAGTTAATTGAATTCAGTTGGGTGATTCCAAGTCTGATTGTCTTTATTTTACTCTTTTCACCTTATTTTCCAGCGAGTAGTCCCATCAATAGTCTTAGGTGCTTGATAAGCATATTTGAATAACTCACTCAATTGACTTTGATACCAATGAATCAGGCAAATTGCATAATGGAACAACAGTAAAGGTGATCATGTCTGAGGGTGTCAAATGATTTACTGAGGTATCAGGGGTTCCTGTAGCTTTTCTTCCATTCCCATCCCCTTACCCTTCTGGAGATCGATGTGGGATATACTGTACTTGGCTGTGGTCCTTTCTGAAATGAGACTGAAGAACAGAATGAGCCACTTGTGCTGGCCCCCATGTGGTTGAAAGACACTGTCCCTGTCCACCAGAAGCCCTGCTACTTGGAAGGCAGAAGGCTGGCTCACTCTAGCAGGTGCCATGGAGTTCCTTTGAGTTGGGTGAAAGGGATGAATCAGCTGCTGACTCTGAGAAGCAATTGGATCCACACAGGCAAAAAGTGTGGGACAGTAAAAGCTTGCAAGGGTGGAGACAAGTGGATTCTGGGGCCTGGGCTTGCATTCTGGCTCCTCCACCTCTGAGGTGGGTGATTTGGGTGTCACTTAGCCATGGATCTCAATTTCCTTGGGATGCCCAGGGGAAATACCGAGGGGAAAGCCAGGCAGGGCACTGTTTTAAATTCCTGTATTAATGTACTTAATCCTCACAAAACCCTCATGACCTAGCACTGCACTGTGAGTCAATCCCAGCATCATGTACCCTAGATCCAGCCACCTCTGAAAAGCCCCAGTTATGACTGCATGAGGCTTTGGGGGGACATCTAGACAGGAACCATAATATAGCTTAAAGAGAACATTTGAAATCAATGTTGCTGTGGAAATGCTATTATAGTAGGTGGAGACTGTTCTCTTTTTTGCCCTTTTTTGTCCTTTTCCAAATAGATCTAGTACAGGATGGAAGTGTGAGTGCAGACAGCCCTCAGTAAATGTGACAAATGACTTACCCAGGCACTGCCTGCCTCTTCTCTTGGGCCTGCCCTGGGGGGTGGGGCCACCTGCACCACCTTCCGCAGTGCCTTTCAGGAAGTATCACCCTGTTCATCCGACCAGGCCATCTCACACTTCATTGCTTTTCTACACATTCCACCCAGTTCTTCCTCATGTTCCTGTAGTCTCAAGTTCCTAGAAACAGAGCAAACAATCCCAGGATTTATCTATTGCCTTGACAAACCCTGAGCCAATCTTATCAAAAAAGGAAAGAAAAGACTCAAATTCATGCAATTAGGAATGAAAAGGGTGAAATCACAACAGATCCTGCAGAAATCCAGAAGATCATAAGTACCTACTTCAAGAACCTGTATTTGGGCCAGGGATTTAGCTCAGTGGTTTCGCTGCCTGCTGTGCAAGTGCAAGGACCTAAGTTCGATCCCCAGTACCAAGAACCTGTATTCTAAGAAGATGGAAAATACAGTAGAAATGGATAGATCCCTAGATGCATATGAATAACCAAAGCTGAATCAAGAAGATATAAAAATTTGGACTAAACCAATATCTGTCAATGGAATTGAAGATGTAATTGAAAACCTGTCTATAGGGCCAGGATTTAGCTCAGTGGTGCCACTGCCCACCTCGTAAATGCAAGGTCTTGAGTTTGATACCTGGTATAAAAAAAAAAAAAGTTAAAAATCTGTCTATAAAGAAAAGCCCAGGCCCTGACGGATTCACTGCTAAATTCTACAAGAAATTTACGGAAGATTTAATGTCAGTACTTCTCAAACTCTTTAATGAAGTTGAAAGGTAAGCAACACTCCCATATTCATTCTTGGAAGCAAGCATTACCCTGATACTAAAACCAGAGAAGGATCCAACTAAAAAAGAGAACTACAAGCCTGTCTCCCTAATGAACATAGATGAAAAAATCCTCAATAACATAGTGGCAAACAGAATGCAGCAAATCATCAAGGAGATTATAGACCATGACCAAGTAAGATTCATCCCAAAGATGCAGGGATGGTTCAACATATGCAAATCAATAAATGTAATACACCATATTAACAGAGCCAAGGACAAAAACTGTATAATCATTTCAATAGATGCAGAAAAAGCATTTGACAAAGTCCAACATCCATACATGTTAAAAACCCTAAAGAAAATTGAAATAAATCTAATAAAAGCTATCTATGATAAACCAACAGCCAACATCATACTAAATGGACAGAAACTGAAAGCTGTTGCTCTAAAGTCAGGAATAAGACAAGGATGTCCACTGCCACCAATCTTATTCAATGTAGTTCTGAAAACATTGGCCAGAGCAATTAGACAAGAGAAAGAAAAAGAATAAGGATAGGAAAGGAAGAAGTTAAATGATCACTATTTGTGGATGACATGATGGAGAGAAATTAGGGAAACAACACCTTTCACAGTAGCATCCAAAAAGAGGAAATACTGGGCCTGGGATTCCACCACCTGCCTCGCAAGTGCAAGGTCCCAAGTTCGATCCCCAGTACCAAAAAAAAAAAAACAAAAACGGAAATACCTAGGAATCAATCTAACAAGGAAGTAAAAGAACTTTACATGAAAAACTACAGTACTCTGAAAAAGGAGATCAAAGAGGATATCAGAAAATAGAAAGATATCCCTTGATCTTGGATAGAGATATCCCTTGTTCTTGGATAGGAAGAATCAATATAGTGAAAATGGCCATACTTCCAAAATTGTTATTCAGATTTGATGCAATCCCAATCAAAATACCAATAGCGTTATCTCACAGAATTGGAGAAAATCATCCTAAAATTCATTTGGAACCAGAAGAGACCTAGAATAGCAAAAGCAATTCTGGGCAACAAAGGCAAGGCAGGGGCATCACAATCCTCAGTGCACCAAAGAAATGAAAAGTGGTAACACTAGAAGTGAAATTGGATGTGATTGAAAGATTTTAAAATGGCAGTAGCAAAGCAAAGTTAAGACGAGATCAAAACCTGCGTGAAGCCACAATGCAAAATCACAGTGAAAAGTCTGATGCATATAAAAGCATGGTGGTGCACGCCTGTTATCTTAGCACTCTGGGTATCTGAGGCCGGAGGATCACAAGTTCAAACCCAGCCTGGGCAAGTTAGGAAGATCCTGTCTCAAAAAATAAAAGTGCTAGGGTTCAGCATGTTTTCGATTGAATTCCTCTAGACACAGAAAGCTGCTTATAATTGAAATGGAGCATTTGTTTCTCTTTTGGATTACATGCAGTATAGCAGTAATTTTGAATTCACTGTGCAAATAACTGCAAGATTTAAACTGCAAGATTAACCTAAAATTAATAGAGTTAAGATAGGGCAAAAGGGTGAAAGACACCCAGAAGGAAGGACACTCCCAGGAGGTGGGAGATTCCTAATATAGTGATACCATCATTACTGTACACAGACCCAATCAGAAAAGTGCTATTTTGGACCAATCAGAAACTTGCTGTTTTCTATCCTTCATTTGAATCTGGTGCTATTCACATGACCAATCAGAAGATGTTCTTTTCAATCCTTCATTTGCATGTGGGCTCAGCCAATCAAAAGACACCATTTCTGATCCTGCATTTACATGTAACAAGAAGCCAAACAAGGTTTTTGATAGGACAGTTTATACATGACCTGATGCCAAGTCAGTGTTTGATAGGATGATTTTTCCAATGCCTTATTTGCATGCAAAGAGAGATAACCCAGGAGTTTTGGATACAAAAGAGCCTTTTTCCTTGGTCTTCAGGGCCACTGTGAGCCTCTGCCCTGGGCAGCTTTCACTATGCAGAGAAAATTTCTTTTCTGCCTCTCATAAACCTATACTTTAACTGCCTTTTCTGCATGTCTTGTCCAATTCTTTGTTCAAGACATCAACAACCTGGAAAGAAACCTTGTAGGACCAGTTGCAGAGCCAGAAAAAGTGCCCACGGGAATGCAGACACTGTCACTGCTTTGGAGGCTGGATATGCAGCCTAAGGAAATTAGTGCTTAACAAGAGCCGGGCTCTGCTGGCTTTGCAACTCTTGCCTGGAGGCTGTGGCTGCACCAGGGGCCAAAGCAGTCAGAGAGGCGGGCCTGGCAGAGGCTGTGGTCACCTCTAAGATTGCTGAGCCTCAGAAGTCCTCAAGGCACACACAGTCAGTAATAGTCTAGGCTCTAAGAGCCAGAGGAAAGGGGGGGTGTTTGCATTTTCCTCATCTCCACAGCTGCCTCCAGCTGAAGGCCCCTGTAAGTAACCTGAGCTTTTTGACTTTTAGGTTCCTTTCTGTTTCCCAGTTAGAAGGCCTTCAGGTCTGTCTGCTGCAGGGCCCTCTGTACTGGGAAGGAGACTGTGGGGCAGGGACTCGACCTTTGGGCTTCCGGCCTGTCAGATCCTGAGCCCAGAAAACTGCTTTGCAGAGCTATTGTGCTGGCCCTGGAGAGAGGTGGCCTCTAGAGGAATGCTGTGTGGCAACTTCCCACACAATGCTCCTGACTTCACAGTACCCCTTGGCTAGGGAAAGGACCCGAAGCCTGCTTTCATGAGGCTGTGGAGAACCCTAAGAAGCTGGTGGGACTTCTTACACTCTGAGTCCCTTCTCCAGAGAATTTGGGAGGAGCAGTGCTTTTCTAAAACTTGCCTTCCTAGAACTCAACCTCCTCCCTTGCCCCCCACCCCCCAGCAATGTTCCAGAATCTGGGAACAGGGCACAGAGCAAAAGAAAGATGCCTATTTTTGCAGAATTTATATTTTAACGAGAAGCCAGAAAGTAAGCAGAATAAATGTGTGAGATCTGCTGTGGAGAAAAATGAAACAGAGAACAGCATGAGGGATGGTGGGGCTGGTGTGCTTCTCCCAGACAGCGTGGCCTCGCTGACAGGCCACATCTGAGCCTGATGGAGTAGAGAATCAGAGCTGAGGGTGAGCTGGGGCTGAACATCCTGGGTTTCTGCTGGTGACAGCGGAGGGCATAACCCCTAATGGCCCCAGGGCTTGGAGCTCCTGCCTCTACACTGACTTCTGCCCTGAGAAGAGGCTGGTGCCATAGAGGGGAGTCGGAGGGGCCTTGTCCTGCTGTGAAGAAAGTTCCAGAGTCCTGGCCTGTACTCCCTGGTTGCTGGAAGGTGAGAGGAACCATAGACTAAGTCATCCTTTACCATGAGTGGAGACGGTCCAACACTTACCTGGACAGGAGGCCTGCTGGGGGCTCAGGGCTTAGCCTGTAGGAAAGGGCAAGTCTTGCTGCTGGGTGCTGACGTGGAAGGGCTGCACAAGCGTGTGAACATTCAAAAGAAAGAGGGATATGGTGGCGAATTATTATTATTGTATGTGGTACTGAGGATGGAACTGAGGGCCTTAACACTGAGCTACATTCCTAGCCCTTTTTTATTTTTTATTTTGAGACAGGGTCTTACAAATCATTAAGTTGCCAGGACTGGGTTTGAATTTGTAATCCTGCCTCCGCCTCCCAGAGTGCTGGGATTACAGTGCCACTGCACCCAATTTGGAGCAGACCTTTAAGGGAAAAGTGACAACCTAGCTTTTGCTACCACTAACCCAAAACATCTGGACTGGCAGTATTTAGCCACAAGCGCTTCTAGTGCATGGAGCCACTCAAAGGGACACTTGGGACTCCACTCTCCTGACAATGCACTTTAAATCTCATAAATACCTGCTGCTCCCTTCCCAGGGTTTGGGAGCCATGGAATTTTACCTCTTTTCCTGGGTGGACTGAAAGATTGGTGAAGTCCAGGTTGAGGCGGGACCAGCTGTTTCTGACAGCCAAAAACACTTGTTACGTGGCAGATACAGGGGGGTAATCTTGGAAACATTGATGGACAGGTGACATTTTGTAAGATACTGAGAGAACTCAGTGGAATAAATTTGCTTCTGTGCTCTACATGGCCACCTCTGGTGATTCACAGATCAGCTGCAGAAAAACATGAGGTTTTTCAAATGTCCTTCCTCCAGCATGTTCAGTTTCCCATTTAAAAGGGCTAAGAATGTGCATATTAACAATACATCTGCTGCGATGTGTGCTTTACTAAGAGGAAAGTGTCCCAATTTTATTTTTTAAATGTATTTTATAAATGAGGATAGGCAGGCAGGGTGATTCATGAAGGTATATTGTCTTTCTAAAATAGTTTGCAGAGCCAAAAGTTTGGAGGCCTCTATCAGGAAAAACAGGTTTTACTCCCAGGATCTTACTGGGGACCCCAGAAGGCTGCTATAGGCTTGCTCTTTAACTGGTGTTAATGGAGGCAAACTCTGCGCTCTTGCTGTAGTTAAGGCTGCGGGTTGCTTGTGTTGGGGGGACCTCTTGGCTCCTTGGTGTGGGGAAAGACCACCGCCTGCCTTGCCTTGCCTTGCCTTTCTCTCTCTCTCTCCCCCCTCCCTCTCCGTTCCTCCTCCTTTCTTTCTCTCTCTCTTTTCCTTCCTCCCTCCCTCCCTCCCGAGATCAAACTCAGGGCTTAATGCTTGCTTAGGCAAGTGCTCTCCACTGAGCCACACTCTCCAGCCCCTCTCTTCCTCCCTTCCTTCCTCTCCCTCCTGTTTTCTTCTCTCCCTCTCTCTCTCTGTCTCTGTCTGTCAGTTCATCTGTCTGTCTTTCTTTCTGCAATACTGGAAATAGAACCTAGGGCCTTCCCACTGAACTACATTCACACTGAGCTACATCCCTGACCCTTTTCTTATTTTCTGTTTTGAGATAGTCTTGCTAAATCACTAAATTGCCCAGGCTGGGTTTAAACTTTCAATTCTCTGGCCTCAGCTGGACAGTGCTGGGATTAGAGGCATGTGTCACCACACCTGGCTCCTGTCTTTTCTTTTTAAAAAAGAAAGTGCTTATATACACATAGGAAAAAAAATACTAAGGAAAACACACCAAATAAGCATGGTTAACTCTAGGTTATTTTAATTTTTTGCATACTTGAAGGCATTTTTTTAGAATTTCCACAAAGAAAGTATATTCCTTTCATAAGGAGAGGGGTAAAAATGTTGTAAAGACTTCTCTCAGTAGAAAAATAACATTTATATAACACTCTAATGTTTTAAAGTTCCTTCTACATGCACTCCAATTTAATCCTCCCAACGCTGCATTCTGATGTTTGTTTCCTTGTCTGCTTCAGAAGATAACTCTTGGGAAGTTTAGAAATCGTCTCCCAGACATGTAACAAGGAGTTGCTGAGCTGGTGGTGCTGAGTCTTCTTTGCCATGGATTTCACCTTCAGGTAGGGCGGGAGGAAGGTTGGGATGCATGGACAGGGTGCTAGGGCAGCTCAGGGAGAACTGCCAGCCTTGGGAGAGGCAGAGGTTTGGCAGCAGTTGATTAATACGGCTCATTATGTTCCCAGTTTTATGTGGTCACTGTGGAGTGATTTCTGGCACATGGTTAAGAGGTTGGTTCTGACTGGCTCCTGGCTCACCTCTGTCCTTGGAGACAGTTGGGAACTGCTTCCCTAGGTCAGGTAGGATCCCCAGGGCTCCTTTTCCCTCTCTGGCGCCGAGGCAGGGTCTTCTTCCTTGTGAATTGGACCAAGTGAAAGGCCCATGCCCAGGGCTGGCCAGATCCTCATAGTCAGAGAATCTCAAGGTGCTACCAGGAGGGAGACGTGCTCCTTTCTGGATGGCCTTGGACCAGGGCCAGCCTGCAAGCCAGTCTGTGGGATTAGGAGGGGGTTGGGACCAGAGGCAGGAGGTGGATGTTGGAGGGAGGTTCTCTTTCAGAAATGTCATGATGCTCTGGATGTCCCTTCTCCTTCAGTTGGTTAGACACACGAAGACCTCAAAGCAGGAGTTAGTGGAAGGTGACCAGAGCCACCCGAGGATGCTTGGAGGCACTCCAGCTGGCACTCCCCATTTCTCATCTGGGGACCGCCTTGCTGTGGGAGGCTGATGTCCTCCTGCTAATGGATGTGCACTAGCTGGGAGCATTCTAGAATCCAGTTGGTTGGGAAGGAAGATGAGAAGGTACCATTTTTCTGGAGCTACAAACGGTGTGTTGGTCCTATAGCTTGTGAAAGGCCAGTTGTTAAAATTTCAAGAAGATTGTGAATCATCATGTTGGTCCCTTGAACTCGGTCACTATGGGTCATTTACACCATGGACATTGGCAGACACTATAGATCAGGGCTTGCCACTGCAAGCAAGCTGGTTATTAAGCATTTATTTACATACCCTGGGCAAGGTACCATTGACCTCATGCTTTAGGGCTCACTGGGGCCTTCTGAGGAGGAGGATGACAGCGACGTCCAACTCTGGCTTCCTCTCTGTGATATAATGAGAGGGCTCACCTCTCAATTGCTGAATGCATATTTTTTACTCTGGAATGTATTGTGAGATGAGATCTAGGTCACCCTGCCTGTGGCTTTCCCTGCTTTCAGCGGAGGACAGGGTTGGTCGGGGTCTCCTGTGCCTTCCACTCCTCGTCTCTAGACCCAGGTAGCCACTGGCACAGTGCCCACCCCAACTAGCTGCTCCAGAAATAGTTGTTCTCCAGGGGTTGGGGAATTAGTATCACCTGCTACTGGGTGGCATGGTTTTCCTGACTGCTGTCAGCAGAGGGCACCACAGGACTAATGATGTGTCTGTTCCAACTCCACGTCACAATCTCTCTTTAAAAGAAAAAAAAAATCCATTGAATTCCTAATTCAAATTCATTAATTTGAAGGAATTAGGAAGAGGCAAGACTGAACTGGTGGTGAATTTTAGGAACAGCATCAGTTGTGCTCAAGGGCTCATAGTAAGCATCTGTAGCACTCTGCAGTCTACAAAAACCACCTGGTCTGTGTGACTTATTTATTCTTCCGTCACCCTCTGCAGGTGTGAGTGTCACCGGGTTGTAGACACAGGTGTAGACTCAAGTCACAGTATCTGGGCTTCAATCTTGGCTGTGTTGCTGACTTTGGACAGGCCACAAAACCTCCCCCCTGCTTCAGGGATAGTACTAGAACTTGACCTTGGAGCTTGGTATGAAGTGGAAGCAAAGAATGCGCACAAAGCACTTAGCACACTCTTTGGATGCAGTAAACACTCAGTAGATGCTGGCTTTGACTTCGCATTGCTAGCTCATCGGCACCTGAGTGGAGAGTGAATGAAGTGCTCATGGCCGGCCCTATACGTCGTAGTAAGGAAAAAGCCAAGACAGCAGCCCTGCCTCTGACACCACCTGTGTCCCAACTGTCACTGCTGCCAAACCTTCTGGCTGTGCTCATGCTTCCTGCTGGGGTGCTAGAAGCCTCCTTAAAAACTTTCTTTTTTTTTTGGTACCGGCGATCGAACTCAGGTCCTTGCTCTTGCGCAGCAGGTGGGGAAACCACTGAGCTAAATCCCCGGGCCTAGTAACTAATTTTCTTAAATGAGCTTGCTGTTAACTTTAGCCGAATGTTATTTAGACCTCACAATCTAAATCTGAGAGCTCAAATTCAAGTAGTTTACTGTCCTGTGGAGTCTGAGCCTGGTGTTGTGACCTACATGACTTTAGCACCAGCAGACGTCACAGGATAGGAGGGATTTTGGACTGGCTGGAGAGGAAGTAGATACACAGGCCCGGTCAGATTTTCTGATTTTTTAAAAAATTTTTTATTTTTAGTACTAGAGATTGGACCCAGGGCCTTCACACTGAGCTGTACCCCAGCCCTTTTCTGTTGTCTGTTTTGAGATGGGGTCTTGCCAAGTTGCATAGGCTGGGCTCTAACGTGGAATTCTCCTGCCTCAGCCTTCCGGAGTGCTGGGATTGCAGGTGGGAGCCACCATGCCTGGCTGATTTTTGAAGAGAAGAAAGAATTTTAGATTTTTATGTGAAATATTCCAGTTGATAAATCTTGTCAACTAATTTAAAGTTTTATTAAAAAAAATGACCAAGGGCACTGAATAAAACATGTGGTAGGGCAGACCCTCTTTGGCTGCCAGGGATCATTCACTGGACATGTGCTGCAGTGGAGCAGGGTGACTGCAGTAAATGGCCTCTGTTTGCAGGGTGCCCGGAGCAGTGTCACAGCATGTGGAGTGTGTTCATCTTATCAGTTTTTTTGTTCTTGTTTTTGTTTTTTGGTACTGGGGATCGAACTCAGGACCTTGCACTTGCAAGGCAGGCGCCAGAACCATTGAGCTACATCCCCAACCCCTGGAGTGTGTTCATCTTCATCACACTCCACACACTTGGTCATCTTGATCATCTCTGCCCTTGCTGAGTTACTGTAAGTAGCAGTCTGTGCTTTCTGTAAGGAATCAGTTCATTGCCTAAGTAGCACTGGAATCTTCTGATGGAGAATCAGAACAGCTTAGATCTATCTGCTACTCTGTGCAGCGACTCCCTGCAAGCTGTGGCCTTGGCCCACCTTCTGCCTCCAACTCATCCAATACAGTTGGATGTTTACCCTTTTAAGATCAGCAATGAACCTGGGTTTAGTAATGCACACCTGTAATCCCAGCACTCTGGGAGTCTGAGGCAGGGGGATTGCAAATTAAGAGTCCAGCCCAGGCAATTTAGCAAGACCCTATCTCAAACTAAAAAAGGGCTGGAGATAGAGATATAAGCCGCTGTGCTTGGCCCAGAGATTCTTGACTGCTAAAGAATAAGCACAAATGAAAATACTAATTCAGAATTGGGGCTTGGGGAAGATCTTAGAAAGCAGAGACTCCTTCTCTCAGCAAGGTTCTGCAGAGGGAAAATCATCATTGCTGATTTTTCCAGTGTGTGTGTGTGTGGGGGGGCGTTGAACCTGATATAGGAGATGGGGCATGGTGAGCTGGCTGGGGAAATGAGCAGGCCCTGTCAATTACAAGATCTCAGGACCCCGCCAAATAATGCTCAGGACCCCATATGTAGAATTCTTACAAGTGCCCATGGGATGTGGCAGAATGAAAGAAGACTGGACACCAGGGGAAGCTCACGATTGTGCGTTACCACGGTAGCCTGTACTGCATTTCTCAGCCCCAGTACTGCAAAAAAAATTTCCAGAAACATATAGGCTAGTGGTGTAGCTCATGTGCTAAATCAAGGCAGGCGGAAGTGTGTCATTTGCGGTCTTCTGGGAAAAAGAAGCCAAGCTGGAATTAGGTGTGCAGTACAGACTGCAGGGAACCCCTGTGAAGGAAAATGGGTGGGGCAGAGGCAGGGCCATACAGGCCTGACACAGACCAGAGAGAGGAGGAGTGGAAGTTGGGGTGGGAGAGCCTCCCTCTGCAGCAGAGATCCAGGGACTCCGCCAGGCTGCTAGGAGCCTCATGGGGCAGCACCGCTGCTCTGATCCCCTGCTGCACCCAGGGAGGGTAAGCTCTCAGGGTCTAAAAGGTGCTACCACTGGGGCCAAATTTCCTCATCTGTTAAATGAAAACAATGAAATTACATCTCTCCCATGGAATTACTCTGAGAATTGTGACAGAAGTAGGTAAGGTGCCAGGTACCTAGCAAGGGCTAATTAAATATTTTTAACTTGGTATGTATTATGAGAGGAAACATAGGCTATTTATCCAATATTTATTTTGTCTTATTTTTGACGGTTTTCTCTTTCTCTCTTTTTATTTTTTTTGTGAGTCAGGGTCTCACTATGTAGTCCAGGCTGGCCTAAAACTCCCAGCGATCCTCCTGCTTAAGCCTCCCACATACTGGGATTACAAGTGTGTACCACCACACCCAGCAGGTAGAGGACTTGTCTTTTTGAATGATGTTGTTAGGGTAAATCTGATCAGTAGGTTGAGGGAGGATGCATTCATGGAAAATGGTCACTAGCAACATTCTCCCACCACCCTGCGAGGTAGGTCCAATTTTTATGTCTATCTTACAGATAAGTCAACTGGAGCCCAGTAAGGTCTTGGTGATTTAGCAGGGCAGATGAGTCGGGAATGACCAATCATTGCTTCCCCTTGGTTAACAACGGTCAGATGAGGGCCGGGGATTTAGCTCAGTGGTGCCGCCATGTGCCTCACAAGTACAAGGTCCTGAGTTCGATCTCTGGTACCAAAAGAAAGCCAAAAACAGGCCAGGGATTTAGTTCAGTAGTTCCGGCACCTGCTTTGCAAGCACAAGGACCCAAGTTCAATCTCTGGTACCAAAAAAAAAAGAAAACCAAAAACAAATAAAAAACAATGGTTAGATGACCCAATCAGATCTAAGGAGAGGTAGTGAGACTGGCCAGGGTAGCTGTAAAAAGGTTTTACTGTTTGTTTCTTCATTTTTTACCAATGGGCTTGGACCAGAGAGAATGTAAAGTTGATGATGCTAAAGTGG